CTCTTTAACCACGAAAAGAATCATCATGAACCAAAAGTTCGCAATATTATTGTGAGAATGAATCGTCTAAGTCACCGCCAAGTGGATATCGCACAGGCCCTTGGTGTTTCTTAGAGCTTGGTCTTGTGTCTAATGATTAATGTGTTATTAAAAATGAGGATTTTTTTGTTTTTGGCTTGTATTTTCTATTTTGTTTTCTCCAACTAACAAGAATATATCGGTTAATTTAATTAAACGTATTACAATAAGAACAAATTATAAATATCCTTATTCATTTTTGAGTAGTTTATTATGACTTTTTAATATTTGTACATTTTTTGATGTCTTTTAATTTTGAGGGTAGAGTTAATTTATTCTTAAAATACATTATTATTTATTTCAATTTTTTTAAAAGCAATCATAAATTGTAATTAGATGAGGTATAATTATATTTACAAACTTAATCGCTTTCTAAAGTTATAAGTCATAACTACGTTGTGTTTTTACATCATAAAACCAAAATATCCAATTAATAATAATAGTAATCTGATGATTATGAAACGATTATATCAGTTAGATAACCAATTAAAAGATAAAAAATACATATATTGTGCACTGACAAAAATGCAAAGATTGACACGTATGATAAAAAAGTATTGTATTCACTAAATTGAATCCAGATTTTAACTGCCAGATTGAAAATCAAAATTCTCTTTGAACAAAATTCCGAAGTCGTTGGAACTTATCAGAGTATGCGTTCATCCCTTTCTTTTTTTATTTCTTTGGCTTGCGTAATCCGAGAATAAACGAAGTTGTGGTACAGTTGCATAACTGTTTACGCAAGAACGATTGATAAACATGGCTGCTATCTGTGTATATATTTTTACCTCGCACCCTGTTTCCCACTCTCATGCTCTATCACTCTCTCTCTCTCTCTCTCTCTCTCTCTCTCTCTCTCTCTCTCTCTCTCTCTCTCTCTCAATTTATTGTACATGAAGGGCTTACAAGATAATTCACAACTTCTGTGAATTTACTTTAAAAATTTGGAATAACAAATAACAACGGTACGATTGATTCCATGTCTTGAGGAAATTTCAGGTGCTAGGCAGCAGAAATACTAGCTACAAAGGAATTATTCTGTGGCATGAACCTGAGCCACACTATAAAACAACTTGAATCTTGAGTTGCAAAAAGACAGGAAATAACTAGAACGTATGTCAATCCACGGGAGAAAAGCCTTTCAAGCCTATATTTACATATATATATTTACGGGTCATGCTCGAGTAAAATTCTACTTCATAACAATGGATCTTCGAATACCAATGTCTACCATACAGAAGGAAACATTGACATTAGAACAAATTTCTATGACATTGAAATGGAACAGCTAGGAAAATATTTCTTTTGTTATTTAGATCCGGATAAAGTCTCTCGATAAAACGGCAAGTCGGCTTAAGAGTTCCATTGAACCGGACATAGCATTTTGCATTTCGTTTTATCTTGTCAAAGGGCTAGATTGGATTGGGTTCACTAGTGTTCTTGTAAGTTACAGGGTGCAACTAATAGGGTAGTGGCAATTTCGCATCCAGCCGTTTCCAATCAGTGAAAATCAACATACAACCCTCAATTTCCAATTTAACAATTATGTTAAATTATGTACCTATTTAACATATAAAAAAATATTTTGTAATACAGGCAGGAAATAATGTATAGTGAAAACTTTGAAATGAATTAATTGTGACGATATTGCTGTGTGTTTTCAAGAATATTTGTTTGAAATAAAACTTCTCAGAGTTATATTATAGAACTTATTTTGCTTTTCAAATTTTAACATTTTAAATTAACGTAATTAGTTTATGAGAGTTTTGTTCTTTTCGAAAGATTTAAGAAAATACCACAAATCGTATTACATAAAAGATTTTTATTTTTATTACCTTTTCAATAGCCAATATAGTTTTAGAAACTGATTTAGTTTGTTGATATTGCTTTTGCTGGTCAATACAAATTTTAATTTTACACCACTTTTCTAAATTTAAATCACGTTAGAATTTCAATTCTCTGGTCATTTTGATACAATACAGAAGTACATTCAACAATAAAATCGAACGTCATCCAACTTAAATATTCTAATAGTAAAACATAACAAAATATAATATAATAAAATATAAGATTATTGTAAAAAGAAATTATTAATAATTAATAATGATCATTATCTCTTATATTCAGAAGGAAAGAAGACGAAGCGGCTAAGGCTGAGACGTCTCAACATCCGGATTTATCCACCGCCATCTTTGACACAAGAAATGCAATAAAAATATGATTAAATATAATGTTGCAGCGACAATTGTCGGGACAGAAGCATTCACGTTTCAGTGCGTTGTCTATGGGAGGACCTTAGAGAATCTGACCTGTTGAAGAATTGTTCATCCTCACCTGGATAAGACATGAGAGGTTTACCCACGGACACTTCTTTTTGCGGCAAAGCCCTCGTATGTGTCCTGCATTTATAGAAAGGCACCTCGATGAGTCCCACCTGTTTGAACGATGCAATTCCTTGTGTACATATAGAGAGCTCGTAAGTATGCCACCCGATTTGATAATTATGCTTGAGCACGACAGCGACTATTTGGGTCCCCTTTTCCGATTCTTGGAGGAAACAGTTATATTTTTGTATACAGTTTTGTGTCGTTAGCATGTGTTGAAAAATGAATACATTTATTAGCGTGAAGTGTAGAGTGAGAGGGCAGATGGTGGAACACTGAATATACTCCATCGATCATCAGTTACTTAGTTATACTAAGTGATTGTTGTTTTGCATATGGTAATGTGAGTTTTGTGTACCTAGCTTGAGTTAAGATTGGATGTATTTATTAGCGTAAATGTATATTGTGAGATGGACTATGACGTGATGTTAGTACCCCATCGACCACCAAATAGGTTAATTGTATAATATGTGTATTGGGTGATGGAGGAATAGCTCTACCACCCCAATTAAACGAATGATATGTAAATAGAAGAGAATGTAGTCAAGAATGAGTGTGATTGTGGATGTGTTTGGAAGTGCTTGCAGTGGGTGCTATATTAACATTTCTGTTGACAGCTTCCGGAGTCCAACCCCGGTGGATGGTCGGATAAGACCGAGGTCTGCCCCCGGACTGCCAACACTGGTGGGTGATTCTCGAGGTAATTCATTCTAAATAGCAAATGTTGGAATTGTCGGTGACTGCGAGAAGAGAAATGCTCAACTTGGTACATGAGTATATATCCGTACACATGTTTGCCAATCCAATCATAATGATAGCCTAAGAGGATTAGGATTTACCATAGGAAAATGGTCCGTTTTTTGGCATAGAAAAAAATATTGCATGAGATTCCGAGCTTCAAAAGTGCTTCAAATAATGTTTTTTTTTTATTTTAACAGGAATGAATTAACTGTTTTCATTAACTTATTACATTAACTATTAACTTGCAACTCACGAATCCTTACGCTGTTTGAAGATGCTGATATTTTATGTATATTTTGTGGTCTAAATTAACATGGAATTCTATACATCGTTTATCAACTGTCTACTAAAGAATAATTGGTCTGTTTTTATGTCGTAAATTTGGCTGCCGCCGGGAAATTTATGCTCGACCAGAAAATATCTTCTCCTGAAAAATATTTTTTCACTTTTACCTACATTTTTCATTATCTTTTATCATATTAAAAAAAAAGTATTTTCAGCAGGAGTAATAGGCAAATAAACGTGGTGAGCAATAATCTCTATAACATTGCTAACCAGGAGCAGAAAAAAATTCTTATTGATGCGGGTCTTGTTTTCACCAATAACTAAAATTAAGGTAAGTTAAATTTTAAAAAAATAAAGTGAAATAATAAAATTTAAACAAAGAATAATAAGTTTGGAGCATAAGATTTTCCAATGGTACAAATATACATACAAGACTTTCGGGCGCGAAATTCCTTGCAGCTCGGCGTGCTACAGCGTACGGATAACTTATAATGACATCTCTCTGGTAATTTAAAATAAAACTTGTAACTTTTGAAAAAAAAAGATCTGTATTAAACGATGTATATGAGATTTGGAGAAATCGCGAGAGGAAAAATTGGAGAGAAGTTTGTTATGGAAAGACTTGAAAGTAATATTCAGAAAAAACATGAACTGGAATAGGATAGAGTGATGAGGGATTATTGAGAAAAATAAACAAAAGGTACTTGACGTTAACATTTTATAAAAAAATTTGTAAAATTTTGTCTCAAATTTAGGTTGTTGCGCAAAATTAACAGCCCACTATTTTTAAGTAGTTATAAATTTATCTATAAGGTACTTTGTTATGTCGTAGTTCTAAGAAAAATATAAGAAAAAATATTGATTGTTTCGGACCAATTAAATTGTACGGAAAATGGAAACGTTTTTGTTGTTTGTTTGAGCAAATAACAGATTTGCACATAGTGGTAAAATTTTAGAGTTTATTGCTAAAGTAGAAATTACAGACCCTTTTGGAAAAAAAATTCAGATCAAAATTAAAATCCTTTTAGTAGGTGTTGAGTTGAGTTGAACAAAAATATAGGAATAAGACATCTCACCGTAAAAAATAATAAAAGAGAGAGAGAGGGTAAAAGGGAGAGTTTAGAGAGAGAGAGAGAGAGAGAGAGAGAGAGAGAGAGAGAGAGAAGGAGAAGGAGCGTTTTTGAGGAATCGCTAACCTTTCAAAAGATAAATTTAATTTAATTAAAAAATAGGATAATCTTCATAATAATATATAACATGGTTACCCGTATTTTAATATGTCTAGTAGTCAGAAATTCCGAAATGTTTTATAAATGTATATCTGTACGAAACATATTCCATGTATTAAATTGTAATAAAATGACAGCTGATGGCAAATTGTTAGATTTTGATTGATTCAATGATACTGTATAAATGCTGAAAAAGTCTTTTATGGATGTGTTTAATGATTCATCGATATATGTATATTAAAGGAAAAATAAATAACAATATAGGTAACAAATTAAAAGTAACTACATATTAACATAAATTTATTATAGCTATACACATTTACACGGCAATACAAGTCATACATTTTTTACATATAAAATTTAAACACCTTATTGAGGTTGACAAAAATAGGTAAACATAGGTTATCATTATATTCATTATGAGTTTGCAGAAAACAACAATTAGCAAAGATTGGTAACACTTTAACAAGTTTAGGCCAAAGAATGAAATGAAAAAACAATTATAACATTTTAATAACTTTATAATATTTAACATTCAAGTTTAAAAAATTATTTCAGAATTAGGCTTGACTCAATAATAGCATATTTTTTTATTTTTTTAATCTGACACATCGAAACAGCAATTTATTAGTATTTTAAATTCATTTTTATTTAAATTAACAATCCTTAAAACCACGTCGAGATATGCACATTGTGAAAACTAGAGATGTATGATTTTTATATATTTACAATGTCGAATAAAGTTCGTTTATATAATATGTATATTATTTATATATATAGTTTTCATAAATGATAAAAAAGATGTGTTTAAATTTTCTGTGTTTATTTTACATTTATTTAAAAAATCTGATCACTTTGGCTCCGTTAAAACAACCCCTTGGGTCTAGTTTGAGCATTTCTTTGGTTTTGTGTTTGTCGTCTTTGGCTTGGCCGTTCCAAAGGACACTTTTTCAATCGACCAGAATAACAATTAAACCAACGCGTCCCTTAAATTTAGACATATTCACGTAATGTAATTATTTACAAGTGGGGTTCATTCTAACCCACAAAACTTCAAATTTTTGTACAATGTAAATTAGAAATTTTGATAAATAAACATTTTCGTATTGAGTTATTATTATTAATCAAAATCTATACATATCTATGCTGATCAAAAATATATATGTTTACGCTTCTGAAATATATAATAAGAAAATAGCGAACATTGTTTTTTTTAATTTAATTCCAGCCTTCAATGTGATAATTTGAAATCATACACGAAGGTATAACAATTTTTTTGTCTCTTTACAATTGTAATTTTAGTAAAATATCAACAATAGCAAAACTCTCTCGCTTTAGTAATGACTAGCACAGCCACGGTAAATTGCAGAGAAAAAACTTTCGTGGCTGTGCCATCGAGAAAGTTTGTTATTATTTGTTGTTCCTGCTAAGAATAAACACTCAAAATGGAAAAAAACACGACTAGACAAACACAAAACTATAATACAAATAACTTTATAAACTCTGAAATAGACAATGATTTTTTTGTGATTTTAAAAATTTTTAAATACGCCATTAATAAATACTAAAAACTAAATTCACGAAAATTAATGTTAGTAAAATAAGCGAAATATTATTTTGAATCTGAAAGAAACAGGTCAGGTGGTTTTGACGTGTTTCCTCGCTTAAACATCCTTAGTGCAAAGATATTAAAGTACACAGACAAATATTTTACAGAAAATATTATGTTAAAAGAAACAAACTATTATGCATTCAGGTAGCCTTGGAGGTTCCTCAAATGTGATATATATTATATATCTATATATATATTTATTTATTTTTTAAAAGTTTTAAATGACCCTGTTGATTGGTTGCGCGCACGCCGGGATCCTGGGGAAGTTAATAGTGCCGTGTGTTTCATTTTGCAGTGTTGCCCCCCAGAAATGCGACGCAGTTCCGACGACTCGAATTGTTCCATTTGTGTATATATATTTATTTTAAACTGATAGGTCACCGGACGGGGGAAGACACTCCTTACTCCTCACTTCTGAAACAAAAACAAAAACAGTTTTAGTTCAACATTAAAAAAATCATATATAAATATTTTTTGCAAACATTTCTAAATTGTTGATTTCAAACATAACCAATCTAACCTAAAATTCTGAATATACATGTATTAATTGTAGAACATAAGAGAAATATAAATAAATGCACAGAACAGTAATGAGTTTTTCATCCAGATCATTAACGTTTTTTTATGATTATGGTATTTAATGAAGGAAAGTTTTATACGAAACTAAAATTTAAATTCCTGGACTAAATGATATTGTACTTACAGGCGTGGTAAGCAAACCGTATGAGAGCCCAGGGATCCTAGACATTCAACAGCTCAATGATTTGGGCACATTCGAGAATAGACCCGAGGTGTAATAGACGAATCTCTCCTAAAATCGAACACTCAGCTAGGAAGTGAAGAACTATCTCAATAGACTGCGCGTTGCGGATTCCCTCCCTCTTATCCAAATTGAGTTCAAATGGAGGACCTCGCAATGAAGTTTTAGAAGCCAACGCAACTCAGAAGATTAAAACCGACGAAATTTCTTTCTTTTAAATTAAATGAACTACGAGAATGTAGAGGTCATTAAACAGGAAGAAATTATCTGAGGATAGAGCACGACTCATGCATCAGTGCTATGATGCTCTTTTATTGCCTACAACAAAGCTGAAAAGAGATCTGGTCATTTATCAAGGTTATCAAGGGTTGGTGTGGTTAGGGAGAATTTATGGAATAGATATAGCCAATGTGCAAACCAGAAAGTCTTCAACCGTATGATTTCTAACGCTGTTATTTATACAAGCCTGGAATCAGAAAGATGTGAGGTTATGCGGATGAATGAGAAGTGAAGCTGTAGGGGGTTGAAATTGGTAATACAAATAATTTATGGACAAAATATCTTAGAACTTTTTCTAATGAATGAAATTGTTGCTAGCAATAACAATTATACCTGGCAACCGTAACTCCAAATCGAACGGCACACTGAATTGAATACTTGATACTTGAATTTTAATGGAATGACCTCTTGTGTGATTAAAAAGGACCACGTGTAGTTGATTGCAATCTGGGGGAGAGAAGAGCACCAAGATATTTCTACACATTAACCACCTTTATTCTTTCCCATTATTAATACCAATGGTCCGAAGACTTAAGTCTACCACATTTTCTGAACACCATAACCTTTTGAGGTTCGCCGTTTAATTCCATTGGACACAAAAAGCTTTTAGTGGCTTTATATTCTTTTGTAGACCATGTATTGAGTCAGCCATTATAACTATGTCGTTCACGTAAATTAGAATTTGTGTTGCCTATTCTCACAACACACTCAAGAACGGAGTCAAGGAACAGGGCGAACAGAATAGCGCTTAGCAAGCACCCTTGCCTAACCCCACTAGCAGAAAATAAGAGAGGAACAAAAAGCGGCAAAAGATGAAAAAATAAAATAGATTGATAGTTGGAGAGAAAGAGAGAAGGAGAGGGAGAGAGAGAGAGAGAGAGAGAGAGAGAGAGAGAGAGAGAGAGAGAGAGAGAGAAAGAGGGAGGGAGAGAGAGAGTAAAATATTTACAGTATTCCCACAAACAATGGATAATTTTTTTTTAGTTGATTGAACCAATTTATCGTTTTCTAATGTTACGTTACATTACACATAAAATAAAAATGTTAATATAATGCAAACTGTATATAACACTTATTTAATAAACCAGCCCTTTTTAGCCTTTCAGTAGTTTCACTTGGATGATATTTCATTTGAGTTAATGTATTACAAAGAGGGTTGAATAAAAGTTTTGTACACAAAACTGTACACTGATAAAATTGTACAACATTTTCAAGCAAGTAATGTAAAATAAGTAGATTTTTTAACATATTTACTTGATAATTGAAGCAAACTTATAAGTTGAGTAAAAATGCGAAAAATTTTTATCAGGCTCTTAATACTAATTTGAAATTACAACACTTTTCCGTGAGAAGTACCTGATTTCTTGTACGTGTACCAGTTACTGAAAAGGGAAATAAGATTCTCTTTTAACTTTGCGATTCTTCATTTGTGGCATTTTCTGTTATTTCTGAGCGGATTTCTCTGCAAGACACAATAATCCGTTGTTCGAATTCTAAGACATTCAATACTGGAGATGGATTGGCATACACTCAATTCTTCAATGCCCCCCTCACTCGTTTTATTCGGGGCATAACTCAGAAATGGTCGATCCTATCAAAAGTTTCCTTTCAGTAAAAGTGGCGTAAAATAAGGCCTAGAATCGGATTGTACAATAAAAATGTGAAATTTTTATATAAAATAACAAATTTAGTGTCATTTCCCAGCTGAATAAGAAAGCTATGTTAAATCTGTTACCACCAAGCGATTCATAGCCAAAATTAACTTGGGGTTTGTATAAGACCATTTTTGCTAAAGTCATTTCCGAATTAAATTGGTGGACTGCTGAAGTTGATATACCCTGAATATGATTGGAAGAAAACGAATCCTCCAAAGCTGTTTCATAGTTTAAGTATATATAAATGTTTATAAATTCGTGGTCAAAAACGATAAACATGATAAAAACGATTATGTCATTTCATGTCAGGCAAAAACGTCGGCCGACGTTGGCAAGCGTTCGCCGTCCGCGGCTGTATTTTAGGGCAATTTCTGCCGCCGCTGGCAAACTTATGAAGCCATTAGGTGATTGAAATTGTTTAATCTTGCTTACGCAACAAATGGGCGTGGGGCACGACTGGCAATAAAGTTAAACGTGACAAAATATGCAAATGGATATAACACTTATGTGGGGGTGGGGAGTTATTTACTTATGTCTAAGTCCTTCCCCTTCGCTAAAATCGATCAAGACCGTTTATCCGTATGTGTAGTATTATGAAAGTACTTCAGTCTCCAATGAATATTGATTCCCACTCGACACAGGTTCGCAATCGTTGGGCTCAAGGCCTCCCTTCGTTCCCAAGGATTTTCGTTTAGCAATTTATCAACCTGGATTTTACGGTGAAATTCGTTCAAGAATGACTTTTATTAAATAAATAAACCACTAACTTCTAATGATTCAAACTGTCAAATAATTATGGTATTTTGTTCAACCACTCCGGGAAGAAATATTCCTCTGGGAAATTTTTTTAACGTCCTCGTTAAATACTTCCTCCAATTAATTATAAAACCCTCCAAATTATGTTGGGAATCAACTTAGAAGCAAATTAACCCAGAAACAGTATTTAAAAAAATTACCTATAAGGATGTTTATTTTGGGGAAATAATAATTAACATTTATTTATTTTCACTAACTGTTTGATTAAAATTTTGAATTTTAGTACCGCTGATTTATTGACAATATGGCAAACGTAAGGGTAACCAAAATAATAACGATAGGTACATAACAACATTGTTGATAAATCTAAATATGTATTCATAGTCATAATTGACACTATTAATTATATTTCTTTTTTATCCACTTTTATTATAAGTCTTGGTTGAAATGAAAAGCGAGTGGGATTCGAACCCATGAACTTTACCTATTAGATGATATTTGGAAATGTGGCCAAAAGGGGGAAGATTCGATGGTTCAGTTTGAGATGGGAAATTGGTGTCCGCGTGGATCGAAGTCGTAATAGCTCGAGTGGGTTATAGCTGCAAATTGAGCCGAAAAACGTGGGTTCGAATCCCGCTTGTGACACTAGCTTTTTCAACTGAACTGAGATCTTAGATAACATGTATAACTAATTGTTGATAAATGACAATTAATTAAGGTTTTTAGTTGAGATGAAAAAAAGTTAGTGGCACGAGAGGGATTCGAACCCCCGACCTTCGGCTAGATTCGCCGCTGCTCTACCACCTGAGCTATCGTGACCTCGATCAACTCGGACATCAACTACCCATCTCAACCCCACCTTATGAGTTTTCCCTCCTTTTGCCATTTTTCATCTCAACTAAAAACCTTAATTAATTGTCATGTATCAATTGGTCAAGCGGACCACGAAATTAGTGAATTAATGATTTAAAAATGAAGTACACTTCACTAAAGCTCTCCGTCGCCATTTCAATTGTCGTCGAGAATCCAAACCGATTATACGACATTTGAAAAATGGCAAAAGGAGGGAAAACTCATAAGGTGGGGTTGAGATGGGGAGTTGATGTCCGAGTGGATCGAGGTCACGATAGCTCAGGTGGTAGAGCAGCGGCGTATCTAGCCGAAGGTCGTGCGTTCGAATCCCTCTCGTGCCATTAACTTTTTTTCATCTCAACTAAAAACCTTATTTAATTGTCATGTACCAATTGGTCAAGCGGACCACGAATTTAGTGAATTAATTGTTGATAAAGTTGATTTGTAAAGTTGTATATGTTGTCTTGCAGGAGGGATTAACTTCCACATAGGGTGTTGCGGTTGAGGGGTCAATTTACAATAAATGTTTCATACCAATATCAACTAAAAAACATTGGGTTCTGCCGGGATTCGAACACAGATATTCTAGCATGGCAAATACTATTCGGACATAGTTGTACCGTGGTCTCGTTATGATATTAAATATCTAGAAAATCACAATCACTCAATAAAATTGCTTTTTATACGTAATGTACATAATAAAAATTGTGATTCAACGAAAAGCTACGGCACTTACTTTGCGGAATTCAATAATGTATTAATATGTGTGGTATTTAGTGACTGGTAATTAATGATTATTTGGAGATAGTGAGATTCGGTCCAGTGTGTCGTAGATTTAGAAAAACATTTTCATTATCGTGCCAACGTTACAATCTTTATATTATTATTATTATTATTATTCTGTTTTGTTTTACGAGGGTTCGCTACAGCAGAGGTTATATCGACTCTCGGGAATCCGGTGTTTTTGAAGAAAAGCCCATTTATATGTATGTCGAGTTCGAATGCAGTGCCGCTAGATTCGAACTCGGGACCTTTACCTTACAGTGATGGTACTGTTCTTCAAACAAGAGACAAATTAATTATTTATTATTTTAATGAGTAAGTAAAATTAT